AATTCTTTATCCCTCTCTTTTTATCTCTCCAGTTAGTATGCTTCATTACTATAATTTAACTCAGTTATCTCGTTTTCTGTTTTTCTGCTTTATTTTTCATGTTTTATTCTTGAAAGAGACCTTATTACTTCATTAGAAGGTATGATAACTATTGATAGAGAAAGTATATCAGTTTGCTCAAGAATGATCAAAAGTTATTTGGCTGTGGTTGCATGTTGAGTCTTCATCCTGTATGTCGTGTTTTGCCTTGGTAATTCCTAGTATGTGTTACTTCCCCTTTGAGTTCTTTTGTGTTCAACTGTTGTATCTTCTATGCTCAAAACTGGGTGAGTCCCAGAAGGTCACCTGGAGAAAACTATGGTTGCAAAAGATGCTTTTATAACATTGCCACTTTGTTCCTTTACTGTATGTGGGAGGGAGTGTTTGGTGGAGAGTTCTGGATGATCCGCTTCTAGCTTTTCTTGTGTGCAGCGTATGACATCTATTGATGTTAAGATGACTTTTTCATCTACTAGGTGTTCCACGATAATATGGATATTGATAAATTTGTAGATGACAGTTATGGTCAAAATTGCTCATCCTTTTCCTAATTGAATGGTTAGGTGGAAATTAAACTTCCACTCCTGGTAGTAACACAGTTAATACCTTGTGGGGCTTGCTTATCATGGGGGTTAAATGGTACAAATTCTGATTGTTCATTGATGTATACGGCAGAGGAGAATAATGGTTACTTCAACCTTATAATTGCTGTTGTTTCTGTTTTTCTAGTTCTTTCTAAATGATTACTGACTCTTACCATTTGCATCCAAAGCCATTTCTCTGTTGTTTGGGTTCCTAAAGTGAAATATTGGATGAAATAATGAGTGTGTTTGGTTAGTAGACTATTTAGGATGTTTTAAAAAAAAAATAAATAAATACTGTAGTACTTTTTCGATGTGATATATGTGAGATAAAAAGGTGGTTGAAAAATGTGTTGATGGTGCAAGTAAATAAATTTTTATAAATAATTCACTATCCAAATAAACCCAATGTTGTCATGAAAGAACTTACTGGTGCTTTGGAACTTTCATAAAATTACTTTAATGCCTGTGATTTGCATACGATGTGTGAGGAGAATGGATTCACTTCCTTTTCATCGAACTTCTGTTGCAGGACTGAGCTTTTGCATGTAGTCATCCTCAGCTTTTTATTCTCTATCTCCTTTTTCTGTTTAACCTGTTTTTTTCCTCGTCTCTTATTTCTGGAGGGTAGATTTTGATAGTCTTGATATTTACCAGAGGAAGTTTATGAAAATGCATAATAATCAGATCCAACTAAACCTGATAACCTTGTAGTAAACAACGATGGATGCTGATGATAATAGGAAAGAAATGCCGGGAACACAGCTGATTATCTGCACTTCTGGTAATTGGTGTGGAACAGAATGCTCATGTTTTATTAACTCCTTTGCAGGCTGATTCAGATAAAGATGGACGGCTGACATTGACAGAAATGATTGACAGCCCATATGTATTCTATAGCGCCATATTCAGTGATGATGAAGATGAAGACTTTGAATATCACGACGAGTTCCGTTGATTGATAACTAGGTAAGGTGAATATCTCTTATCTGTGGTTGAATAAGCAATTGGAGCAATTCTGTTTCTTCCTATGACCTTCGATATTTGGTGACAGGTTTTCAGTTTGGTACAGATGAAACATCTAGAACTTCTCTTGATCAAAGCTCCTACTATAGAATTATAATCACCAATGGTGGAGACATTGGCAAACGTCATGTGAATGATGTCCAAAATTACATGCTTTGGTGCGTTTTCTTATTTGCATCAGAATGCCTTCTTGATATTTGAGAACCTCAAGGATCACAAGCTCAAATTTTCTTGCATTATTTCGGTTTATGGATTTTTGGTAGTTTTAGTTGAGTTATTGGCTAGGGACAATTTACCAGGCTAAGGATTTGTTGTTTAGTTGTCCACAATTATTTTACCTTGTCAATCTGCACCCATTGTTTTAATTTATTTGATGCTTTAGGAAGTTGAGAATATATTGTATTACAGATATAATGCTGAAGTAAAGATAATATGATGTTGATTTACTTCACAAGACATCCTAGCATTTGTAAAATGTGATTTCATAAATGGCATTTTTTTCTTTGTGTGTGTGTGCTTGTTGCATTTAATAGTGCTGTTGTTACTCCCCATTGCTATAGGGTGTGATTTATGCAGGGACGGCAGTTGGGGCAGGTACCCGTGGCTGGTTGATGGGGCGGGGCGGGGGTTTATTTTCTCCCCTGGTTGAAAAATGGGTAGGGGACGGGGGAGTATACCCCTACCCCATCATCCACCTAAAAATAAATAAATAAATATTATAATTATATATATAATATTGGTAGTTATAATAATTATATTATTAGTTATACTAATAATTATACATTTATACTAATACAAATTACTGATTAGTTATGCTAATAGATTTATGAATTGTTTTTTTCTCAGGAATTGCACCATTTCCCCTTCTTATAATTCTTTTTCTGTTAAATGTCCAATTGTCTCTTGCTTTTTCTTCTTGTCACTTCCTTCCCTCTGTATCGTCTATAAAAGTTGAAGCTGTGTAGATGCTGTGTTTTTGGCATTTGCACGTATATGAATTTTATATTGCAACCAGTTTAATCAAACATAAAATGCCAGAGCTATGCGATCATGTGTATTGCTGTTTTGCTGAAATTCAGTTCCTTTAGGGAATTGTGTATTGCTGTTTTGCATGCTAATGTATAGACTTCATGTAAAATTAGTGTTGTAAAATTAGACTTCATGTATAGGCAAATTTCTATTAGCCTGCGGGGAAGCGGGGTGGAGTGTGGGGAGCGGGTGACAGGGGTGGGACGGGAGTGGGGGGAATGTTTGGGCAACGAGGCGGTTCCTCCACTCCACCCCCGCCCCATTGCCATTCCTAGATTTACTTGCAATCTGTATCCTTACAAAGCACTTTAATCTGTAATAAAACTAGAATATGGATAAAGCACTTGGTTCATTTAAATTGTTAAGTGCTCTCTTTTATGCGAAGCCAGTTGAGTTTGAAAATTAAACTTGGTTTTAGCTGATATTTTCTCAACTCGGTCAATTCGTTCAAGAATCAAGTGAAACTGGGGAAGGTGATAGAGGTTTTGGTTTTATGGATGTTTGTGGTCTCCTGGACAAAACTTGATAATCAGCATATATTACAGAGGAATATTCTTAAAAGCAAAAAGCTATAAAATACAATTACGACTAGACGAATTAAGTGGTAAAAATAAAGAGCAAGATGCTTCACTTTATTATCGCTTCTCATTTGCCCTCTCTTTCACAGATAAAGTTAATCCTATGGTCCGTATTAATTGCTTTGGAATCTGGCGTTGATGTTTCGCGTAGTATAGCAATGCTATTCTTAAAAATAGATTTTTTTAAAATTTGATATGAAATCATGGTCTATCACAATATTTCTCTTTCTCTCTCTCTCTCTCTCACTTCTTTTTTTTTCCCACAAAATACGGAGTCCAAATGGCAGCCGAGAAAATAGAAATGAATTCAGAGTGCTCCTAGTTAAAGATAAACTAACCTGTACAAAGCAGTGTAGGGACATTATCTCCCTTCATACTAGCGGCATGAAAATTGTTTGGTAAAATAAAGTTTGGTTGAACTGCAGGGAAAGGTAAGTTGCATTACCTTTTCGGAATGGAGACTTGTTCTTTTCTATTGTGATTTGCAACTTTATTGTTTTTTCAGTCTTAAAATGTTCTTTTTGTTTTATGATGTCGTGTTAATAGGTATGAAAGAGTTTTCTACTCTATTACCAGTGTTCTGTAATCATGAATCTGTAAAGTAGGATACTGTATTTAATGTGTAAATTTTAAAACTCTGTTGGGTTCTAAAATCATCTCCTTCCAAAATTTTTACAATTTCTCTACATTGCTTTAAATTTATAATTTTACCTCAAAAAAGGAAATCAAGTTCAAATAATGAGATTGTGGGGAAGTGTTAGGTTGGATGGTAAGATGGGAAGGATTGTAAGCATGGTTCAAAGCCACGGTCACTTGCGGTTGTGGTCGTGAGTCAGACTGTTCCATATTGGTTTCGGCATATCGGTCGCAGCCTCGACGAGGTGCAAATTTTTGAAATATTTAATATTTTAAAAATTGTAAAAAAATGATAAACAAAGATAATAAAAAATTAGTAAAAACAATAAAAATCGAGTTAACTCGTGATGACTCAAGGCGAATTGACTGTTTCTATCCGTTTCGGAGGCATCTTGATCAAGTTCTTGGTGAGTTGGTCGAGTTTTAGGCGATTCATTATTTCGGAGTCATCTCGTTTCGGTATCGGATCGGAAGCTCCGTTTTGGTGATGACTTGGCCAAGTCTTTGAATCATGATTGTAAGTAGAAAATTTTGGATTCAAAACTTTCAACTTACCCAAAAAAAAAAATGTTTAAATACTGAGATTGTAAAGTCCCAATTCTTGTCATTTACAGGTATTTTCAGATTCTACAAAGAGCACAACCCGTTGCAAGAGCGATGCATTAGTTGATTTCATAGTACAGGGACGTACCTTGAAGAGGAATTTCTGTAATAATACAAGACTAGTATACTTTTAAAACCGTATGAACAAAATGAAGATCTATCCCAGTAGGAAAATTATGATGTTGCAAATGGTCATTCCAAAATAAAACCAAAGAGAAAAGAAAAGGCTGACCCAAAAACTATGTAAATATATAAATGATACTCCCCCTGTCTCACTTATTTTGTCATGTTTGGAAATTTAATTTTTTATCACTTATTTTGTCATGTTTGGAAATTTAATTTTTTAAAAATAATAGTTTGATTGTGATATTTGTGCTTTCCTTTCCAATCTTATTCAAATTCAAAATTTGAATTTAAATGGTGACGTGCATATGATTAAAAGAAGTGACTATATAGGGGGGAGAAACTAATAAGTGCTTTAATTTTCTCAACATGAAAAATATTTTGAGACATTTCAAGATGAACAATATAACATTTCTAACAGGATGGAAGAAGTACAAGGAAATTTTGAAGTCACTCAATCATGCTTTCCACTTTTATAGGTGTTTAAGAATCTTCTGCTGGTTCACAAGAAAAGCAATAATCTGGATGTAGATATTAGGAGCTTTACGTATGGGATCAGCTCCACAAAGTAAATACTTCACCAGGACAAGAATGCGCACTTGATTGTATCCATCCTCAGCACTATACAAAATTCCAGTCGTACTCATCAACTCTCCAAATATGGGATTTAGAATCTGTTGGAAGCAAATAAAACACAGGATGTCTGGTTTGCCTCCCATGAGTAACAAATTTGCCAAACAATATTTTACAGACATTTGAAGAAACCATGGTGATAAATCAGAACTCTCTTATACAAGATTGTCTTCCATCCTTCAAACTCTAGGATTCCATTTCCTTCACCTCTAACAGACGCCCACTTTCTTCTTTCCGGAGAGGCATCTGAAATTATATTGGCATGTTAGTCCGGCTAGTGAAAGACCAAGTTGTGGCCTAAAGCATACAAATTCGGTAAAACAAAGAGTTTTCAGCATACTGGATTCCCCAAGAAAGTAGACCACCTCTGATGTTTATAGCATCTATGTTTTTCTGAAGTTTAACTAATTTAGGGCTCATTATTGGAGCATCTGCTTTTCCAGTTTCCTGGATTAGAATAGTACCAAAGCAATTTCCATCAAGAACATAGAGCATAAATAGGTTAATAGCACCATGTTTTCTGCAACTAAAATTGCTAGCTACATATGCAGCAGTGGAAGGAACAACCATGACCTCATCATACCTCCATGCCAACTCCCCTCATGAATGACTATTCTTACATATCATTATTACTTCTAATGCCACCCTTGCTTTCAAGGATTCATTCTTTGCTAAAACTTTTCTGTTTCAATCTACCTATTTGGTTTTAATAGAAGGCTTCTGGTGATACTTCATTTTGTTGGACTGACCAGCAAGGACAATTAAAAAAAAGAAAGAAAAGAAAAGAAAAGCTAGCAAGATCAACAATTCCAAAGACTCGCTCCCTTTGATTATCTTGGTGTAGCTAAACCAATTGGACATTCCTAGAAGTGCACTTTCATGAGGACAAGATGAAAAGAAAGCAAATATATATCTACCAAAATAGTGCATTTTGACGTAATCAGAACCAGTCTAGAATCAACAAGCTTTGAGAATCGTTACAAAAGTCTCTAGCAAGTGAGGTGCCAATAAATTAGTAGCTGAAAGAATACACTTTGTCTCCTGGTAAACAAATACTGTATAATTTAACTTAAATTAACTCACCTCTGAACATAATGCTGCAAAGCTCCACCAAAAATTCTGGTGATGATCAGAAATCCCATTCTGAACGATTGATTAGAACCTTCAAATCATCATTTCCCATCATGTGTTGTTCCTCCTCTATTCTTCTGACAGACTCTTCAGCAGATTGTCTGCACAATTGCACCTCAATGATCTCCAGTGTAGGGACATCTCCTAAACCAGAGGGGACTTCCTCAAGCTGCCTGCAATTTCGCAAAACTAAGTGTTGAAGATTGGGAAAGTCATCACTGGTGGCATTCCACTGGGCCAGGTTCAGAGTGTCGAGCTTTAGGAAATTGAGTTTAGGGAACTGCCCTTCTTTCATGTCCCACACTTTCCCCTCAAAGGCCCTAGAAAGCAATTTGAGAACCTCCAGGTTCGGTAATCTACCAACTTCCAAAATGCAGTCCCATGGCAGGCGAAATTTTGATAGAGTCAACTTCTTCAGTTTCAATGGGAAGTCAAACTTAAAAGGATGAGCAATTCTACCAGAACAGAGAATTTTGAGCGACTCTAGTTCTGTGAGACAGTTCAGTACTGGAAATTGATTTGAGTTCCCAACATCAACCCTTGATTCTGAAAACAGACATCTAAGTCTCCGAAGTTTGAGAAACCTTCGCATGATATTCTCTGTATGTTTACCAAAAGAGAGAGATGGGGTGGAAAGACTGTCCAGATTTCCTAACTGCGTGGCCTTTTCTGTTTCATTGTCTTGCATGTTGAAGACAGCATTACTATATACATGCAAATGTCTCAACTTTTCCATGCTCCAAATAGTATGTGGCAGTAGGACTTTACCTTTTAGTCCTTTCACAATCAAGGTTTCCAGATTCCAGAGGTTGGCAATTGAAGCTGGAATATAGTCTATATCACCACAAAGGGCCAAGTACCTCAAATGAGCCAATAACTCTATTCCACTGAAGAAAGAATTACCCATATTGATGCATTCCAAATCCAGCACTCTGAGAAGTTTGAAGTTCTCGAAAATGAAGGAGATGTTGTAGGGACATCTTGGATACAAATCACTGCTGGCAGAGTATAGTAGAGAGCGGACGTGTGGTCCACCAGGCCTTGACATGATGAAATGATTTCTCTTAGAACAAATGGATAACCTCCGTTTTGCATATGTTGTGCAATTTGTAGGATGATAATCTGGATCAACACCATAATCTGAATCATCATAAGAAGCATCAAAAAAGAAATTATGTCCAGTTACTGAATGAAGAAAATTTTCTTCGTGACATCTCAGCAAGCATAAAGTACGCAGCAGGTCATGAACACAACATGTTTTAACTCCACCATTGGATCTGCTTTTCGAAGCTATTACTAGGCTTCTGCCAATGAGGTCCTTCAAGTATTCCTCTGCAAGATCTTCCACACGTTTTGACGCCGTACTTCGTACAAATCCTTCAGCAACCCATAACCATGTCAACTTTCGGACTGGAATTTCTTTGTTCTCAAGAAATGCTCCAAGATAGAGAAAGCACGGCTTCAAATAGTCAGGCAAATGCTTGTAGCTTAGCTCTAGGATCTCCATGCACCTTGTTTGCGGATCACTGGCAATGCGTGAGCATAAACTTTCTGATACTTTTTTCCATGAATCTAGAGTCATTTCAGTTCTTTCAAGGATACCAGATACTGCAACAATTGCAAGAGGTAGTCCTTGACAACTTTTGGCAATTTGGTTTCCAACTGTCACCAGTTCAACTTGACAATCTCTGGTCTTGAATAACTTCTTCTGCAACAATTCCCAGCTTTCATCATGGGAGAGTAGACGAAGACGATGAGGAATTCTATCTGCTTTAATTTCCAAAGCCACATCAGGGAGACGACTTGTGACTAATATTCTGCTTCCATTTTCATCATTTGGGAACGTTCTTTCTAAATCATGCCATGGTTCAGTGCTCCAGATGTCATCCATAACTATGAGATACCTTTTTCTCTTGAGACATTGATATAACTCTAAGTCTAGATCATCATCACTCATTTCAAGGATACTATCAGTAATATCCATAATGCCACCCAGCATTTCGAGCAATAAATCTCTTTTGCAGTATACTTGAGACACAGAACACCATGCACGAATATGGAAGTGAAAGATAACTGAAGGATCATTGTATACCTTCCTGGCCAGAGTCGTCTTACCTAGCCCAGGCATACCAACAATCGAGACAACATCTTGCTGTCGTGATCCTCTTGTAAGCCTATCAATCATAATTTTGTTCTGATCAGCAAGATCAATGACCTCTTCATCAATTTTGGGAATTTTTGCTGGCGATGTCACCTTTCTCAATGCCTCGGGACCATTAGAGATATTGATACCGCAAGTCTTCATAGAGATCTCTGAAGCCTTAATCTTAAGAAGCCTGATATCTTCTATGAGATCAGTAACCCATAGCGCATGATACCATAAAACACCTCCTCTAACCACCAACGAATCAACAAGGTATTCCACCTCATATGCCACTTGTATAATGTGTGAAACAAGACATTTTATATCCAAGTGCTGAGTCCACTTTTCTCTAATGTTGCAGAGTATCGACCTCAAGAATCCCATCTCTCTATGAACAATATGAATTGGATATTTCAGAGAACCAATCGATTTAGCTTTGGAGTTCAGCAGCTCCATCAAATTTCCTATAAGAAAATCCATAAAGCCAACTCCCTCAGGCTTGGGGAAACAAGATTTAAATGAGCTTCGTGCTCGCAGATAAATCTCTTTTATCCCTGCATTGACAGGCTCAATCTTTTCTACCAACTCTGGAAGCAAAAGAACAAGATTCGTTGCCATGTCTTCTGTGACTTTCTTGGCAGCAACTGAGTAAATAACTGATATTACGTGCTTGACCACTAATTCAACATGTGCCAAGATCAATTTACCATCCTCCTCCAGTGGACCCATAAGAAAAGTTCTGAGGACTGTCAGCCCCTTGTAAAGGGTTTGTATTTGATTCTGCACATCGACCGTCATATTTGGACGACTGTTTAGAAGCTCGTGCAAAAGTATCTCCATCTTGAAAAGTTTAATCCTCTCAAGCGACTTGAGAAGCTCAAAGGTGACCTTGTCTTTGGTTACTGACTTGCGCAGAAATGCGAGATATACATTACCAGCATTCCTAGCTAGAGATCCAATATTTTTCCATATGGGCTGAGGAATTTCCCTGCCATCATCTCCTAGAAAAATCTGTAAAAAACTTAATCCATCATGGAAAGAATTAATTCGGTTCTTCACGAAAGACTTCTCCACTATTCCGGGCTGTAGCAACTCGGTGAGGAACAGCTCTGCATTGAGACGCTCCATCTTTTCGAGCAACCTAAAAAGTAGAGGATAAGCATCCTTAGCGAGATCTGCTACTGTTTCCTTAGCATGAAATAAGTAGCTGAAAGATCCAAGCTCGCTAACCATTTCTATAATATCCATTGAAAGCAGCTTTACATCATTGTCTGTGTAAAAAGATGGTGGCTGGATGACCAACATTATTAGGTATTTGAGCCCTTTTTGAAGGGTCAGAAGCTGATTCTTCTGAGGAATGAGAAATCGGACAAACTCTTCACAATTGTATTTGTGATCCTCCAGTAACTTGAAGCATATCCTTGTAACTTGTGAAGCATTAGGCTTTAGCTTTTTCAGTAGGTCAACAAGCTTAGGAATGATCTCATTTTTCATGTTTTCATCCAAGCCATCAATCCAGCACACATAAGAAATATATGCTGTTTGGACAAGTATTGCTCCAAAATGAGCCAAGAGGTGTCTATACTCTTGTTGGTTAGCATTCCGATTCTCTACCGCCATAAAGCCCCTTAGGTTTCCTATCATCTTGGCCATGACTTGGATGTGCGGCTTGATATGCACATGAAATGTGTCCTCTCTAGACAGATCTACCAGATTATCCAGTAGAGAGCCAGAGAATTCATTCCAGGGAACATAATTACTCAGAGGAGAGTAAGAAACCAAAGGAGACTGGCATTGAAATGAACAGAGCTCCTGCTTGGATGAAACATAATCGTAAGCTGCTTTAATCAGTGGCCTGAAAAGCTTGAACTTTTGTTGCCACTTAGAAATTACAGGATACAAGTACTCGACACTTCTTTGAATTTCATACGCAGGCGGAGATCTAAAATCTGTACTTGCCTCCATGAATGCAGCTTCAAGATCCTGGACTAGAGACTGCAGCAACAGACCAACATCTTTATGAAGATCATTCCAAATTCCAACGTATATCAGAAACGTTCTCAACAATCTTAATTCTACTTTGAGAATCTGAATTTGTTTGTGTGCATCTTTTTCATCTTCATCTTGACTTTCTGACAAGTTCCACCAGTCACCCAGTTCCATCAGGAGAAAATTCACAGCATTAGTTGGACTGCGATCAGCTTTCTTAACAAGCTTAGTTAGAAATTCCATCAGCAGATCCTGCAAGAATAACCAGACAAATAAATTAAATCTAGTTTGGGTGAAGGGATTTGGAAAAATAAAAAGAAAGAATCTATAATACTTCAACCAAAAAAAAAAAAAAAGCTATCATACTTGAGCAAATATTCAGTCATATTACCACCTAATGCAAAAGCTAAAATTGGTCCAATACGCAAGAAATGGATAGTTTCAACATTGAACTTTATAGTTGATGAAAATTAGATACATCAGTAGATTGGTACATACTTTTCCCAGAAAACTGGCAATGGATCTTGATTTTAGCAAGATTTAAAGCTTATTCCTCTTTCTTCCCAGTTCACTCTAATCAGCAATCTCCAAGGGGCTAAATAAAGAAATTGATCATTGTGACGAAATTTCTCTTGTACAGTTTTTGTCAACCAATTATCATTTCGCTTTAATTTTGGGTGGTTGAGGCCGTTGCAGGCCCCTCCTTCGGTCCTAATCTTTGTGTTCTATCTTCTTTCGGTCATATTTGCCGTCTGTCTTTTTTGGAGTTAGCTAAATTTCTTCTTCTGTATTATAAGCATCCGGAGCTAAAAACTTGTAAAAGGTGTAATTGGTGCAGCCCCTGCCCCTCCCCCAATGCGAGCTCAACAGTATATTGCATTTATGCACGATGAAATTCAATAATAGTTGTACAAATTAATAAATGAATAATACTCCTATCCATTCCTACCTAATCCATTAAGGTATAATTTGTTCTGATGTGTGTGATTGATTATAAATTTAATAGGCGTGACAACTTTAAGTTAATTTGCATTCTACTTGGTGTAAATAGTAGTCGTATTACCTCAATTTTTTTGTAAAAAAAAAAAATGAAGAGGGCAGAAATACTTTATTTCTCTGAGGGGCTAAATTACCTTTACAGTCTAAGTTTCAACATACGCGAGGAGTATTCGCAAAAGAGGCAAATGTGACAGGGAACTGACAATTTTGTGCAAAATAAATGTTTAAACCAAGTGGAAGGGTTAACAATCGCAACCAATCTTCTATTATACAAGTAGGTGTTGTGCTTCTCAAGTTGGTGTGACTCTTGCACTATTTAATGCATCTTCCTTATGGGTACAAATTAATATTTGGTGTAACTTATACACCATATTATTCGTTTACACCAACTCAGTGAAATGATACACAAAATATTACAAGATTTACACTAATCAAACAGCGCAATGGGGATGTAACGCATAAATGGGTAACAAAAGATTCAAATCCGTTAATCACTCATTAGCAATTTGATCAAAAGCACAAACCCATCTATTCCACAGATATCATTACTAAGCATAATATTTACTAGCCGTGGCCCGTGTATCTCACAGATATCATTGCTAAGCATAATATTTTCAAGCCGTAGCGGAGGCAGTGCTTGCAATTACTTTCACAAATGCATTTCAATAAAGAATGCAAACAAAATAATGTCATTGAAGTTTACATATATATATATATATATATATATATATATTATTTTATTTAGGGGTTTTCTAACCTTTTGATTAGATTAATCCCCTAAGAATGTGTAAAACATTGCCCCAATGATACACAACGAGGTAGCACACGGGTGTCGATCATGGGATCTACTGGTAACTACAAGGTTGCGGAACCAGTCGGACTACTTGCAGAGCCATTGAAGTTTAATTGAAACGTATTCATATTATCTCTATTTCAGTGGTGGTGTTTTAAATTTTCAATAGGATAAAAGCAAATGGATAATTTTTTTTAAAAAAATTTTGTTGGGCAACAATATAAGAGGTAATGGAATTTTCAAGAATTGCAGGGGGTGACAATGCAAGACAAATTAACAACATTACAAATTTTTACTTGCCACATGTTTAACCTTTTTAATGTACAAGGGGACAATTTCCCACATCCTTTTCAAGTCCTTGGAACCCTAAGCCAAGAGAGTGTAATTTCAGGGCAGATGCGCATACTAAATATGCCTTATAAAGACCTTTTGATGAGAAATGTAGGCACTTATCTACACATCATTTGCATTCAAATTTCTTATTGTCCCGTTCTGACTAAAATCGCTTATTAGATTTGAATTTTTTTTAGACAAACATTACTTATTGTCCAGTTGTGAATTTCTTTTGACGAGAAATTTGTGCTGAAATCATAGTTGGTTAAATATTTCTCCTTAATCCTTTTACTGACAAAACAGACGTTCAAATGGCAGTTTAAAGAAAATTAAAGATGAATTTCGAGTGCACCTAATCAAAGATAAATTAATCTGTACCAAAGCAATATGGCAACACTATCCCTTTTCGTCCTTCGTTTTCCTTGTTATACTAGCATCTTGAAAATTCTCTATTTGAGAGCAGAAATGAAAGATGTGTAGCCAAAGGTGAGTTGCTTTGCCTCTATAAAATTTGAGAACTTTTCTTTATTAATCCATTGCTTGTAATTTTATTGATTTGCAGTTTCAAATTTTTCTGCTTGTTCTACGTTCGATTTATTCATTGTCATTAAAAGGTAACATAGAGGTTTTATGTTGTTATATGTAATCAAGACTTTGTAACTTACAATTTGGGTAATTAATTCGTAAAATCTGAAATTCCTTTGGATTCTAAAATCCGTCAACTATGGAAAATGTTCCATTAGAACTCCGATCATCTTTCAATGCCTTTTCAATTTCTTCTTTATCACTTGATAATGTATGGGTAAATTTTGTCTCGTAGAAATTGATAAAATTTCAAATCCTTGAATTTCTTTTTTGAATCCTTGGATTCCAATTTAAGCTCTACAAAGAACACAACCTATTGAAAGAGTGATGCATTGGTCCAACCAACGTCCACATCGATTCACAAGCCCCTCTTGTAGGTGGGTTACTTTCTCTCTTTAAGTAGGGAGCCAAAATCACCTTTGGTGGGTGTCTTGAACTTGCTTTTTCAAATTTCAAATTTCACGCACTTTTCTTAAAAAAAAAAAAAAAACAAATAACAAAACAATATACCTTCTTAGATCCTTATTGCCTTCTTCATCAATGGTGAATTCAATGGAGTAATAACGCTTTATCATGATGTTTGTTTATCCTCTCCATTTGGTGTCCTTCTTTCCATTGTTTACATTCATTCCATGGTAGGATGATTGACACTACTACAAAAATAGTCTTTAATGACACATCTATTATGACACTTTTAGAAAAATGTCATAATACAATCTTAATATGACATGCAATAGGAATGGTCATTAAAAAGAAAAAAAAAAACACCATAACGACGTCGTAATTGGAAACAGATTGAAAAAAAAAACAGAAAATGCTGAAACTCTCCACTAAGGCGTCTTTTTTTCAAAAAATTTGTAAGCCCTTCTCCAGAACCTACCTGATCTCAAGCTCTACTCTTTCATTCCCCAATTTTTCCTCTCTGGATAAAACCAATCATTCCAATTGAAACGTGTGATCTGGAGCGGAACAGCGCAGCAGTGTCAAAACACCCAAAATTACCAATCGGATCGCTGCAATAGAGAGAGAGAGCCCCCAATTCCGGAAAGCTCTTTCGATCGAATTTCCGATCAATTTTCTAGTTTGTAACCTAAAAGCGATCTTAATCTGAAGAAAAATGTCATCAACTTTTAGCGGCGATGAAATTGTTCCTTTTTTTGGCTTCCTCGGCGCGGCTGCCGTCCTTGTCTTCTCCTGTACGATCCCTAACCCTAAAATAGATAACTACGTTTACATTTTTTTTTTATCAAATTTCATGTCGATTTATGTTTTTCATTTTTCCTATTTATTATGGGAATTTAGGCATGGGAGCTGGTTATGGGACAGCGAAGAGTGGGTAGGAGTGGAATCAATGGGGGTGATGCGGCCAGAGCTTGGGATGAAGTCGATTGTCCCGGTTGTTATGGCTGGTGTGCTGGGTATCTACGGTTTGATTATTGCTGTCATCATCAGTACTGGAATTAATCCTAAGACCAAAGCTTATTACCTCTTTGATGGCTATGCACATCTTTCTTCTGGCTTGGCTTGCGGTCTCGCTGGCTTTTCCGCGGGAATGGCCATCAGAATTGTCGGTGATGCTGGTGTCAGGTAGTTTAACTTGTTTTTGTCCTGATTAAAGAGATGTATTGTCTATTTGTGTTGGTTCTTGCAGCTATTTTTTTGCTGATGTTTGTAAATTGTGCTTCTATTGGTTGGATATCTGTGTCTGACTAACTAACTTACATTTAGTTTAGGCCTTTTTTGTTTGAAACATATATCGGTTTCACTTTTTGGAGCTTGCTTCTGCTCATTTTGCTGGGATTTCAGGATAGAGTCCCTTGTAGAATAGTAGAGCTCATGAGAATACATGGTACTTCTAACAGATGTTATAAGGTACATGTTAGTATGGGATAAGCCTACTGCATCTGAGATTGTTTGACTCTAATTAGGGGCTTGTCTTCCTAGAAAACTATGTGAATGTGTTATAAGGTTTTTTTGGTCTCCATGTTTTATTGTAACTTTACTTCAGGGTTAATTCGCATTTCCATATTGTATTACTATTCGTGCTCCTTATCTTGTGGAATTTCTGGTTTTGTAATAAATCGGCTTGCTATTTATTGTTGCCTATTGAATTTCACTAGAAACCTAAAGATCATGAAGTGAAGTATGGTAGTTGCCTTTTTGCATTTCAACCTGCATTAGATAGATGATTGTTAATGAACTTCGGTAGCTGACAAACTAGTGGTTATGTTGACTTTCTAAACATAGTAGCTCTGTACCATTAGTAGACAAACATGTAGAGATCGTAAGCTGATGTGAAGAAACTTGATTTTGTTGCAAAGATAAAGGTAGTAAGTAAAATTATGAAACTATAATTACGAGAAACTGTCTCAAATGCCATTGTAAAGGGCATGTATTAAGTTAGAGGATCCAAGGGTCTTGGGTAGGCCTGACTTCCTCAATGCCCAGATTCTGCTACCCAATTGGCAAGCTCAATGTCAATGTCAGTGCCCAGATATGTTGTTCCTTATATTAAAGTACCTAATACTTTCCAGTTTCTTTGTATTTTAATATTTGTTTCATGAACCTACTTTTCAATGTAGTTGTGTTAAAAAATAAAAAAGAAGAACAAGAAGAAAGAAAGAAAGAGAGACTTGAATCTCTGATGCTTTACATAACTTAAAATAGTCCTTATCATAAAATACTTATGGCGGGTAAACATGCAAAAAAGAAAAGTAAGTGTTGTGAGGTTACTTTGAAGGACTACTCTTTAGTGATTGTGTCCTTCTATTGCTTGTTTCAACTGATAAACTTCTTGCTCTGCTTATTACAACCTGTCAGTCACCTTTGGGTTGTAATTAGTAAAATGGTTTCCCACTCTTAGCATAGTCTTTAAACTTAGAATAGAAAAGCTTTTAGTTTGATTTTTGTTCATTTATGATTTATGATGAATCTCCTGGGCTCAGCAGTTATCATGCTGTTATGCACCATTAGTGATTTTCTGTATCTAACGTTACTTATTTTATGTCCACTATCAAGTGTGCTTCAGAATTTTTATGTTACTACTGCAGAGAAAATGCACAACAGCCAAAGCTTTTTTGTTGGGATTATCCTTTCTTCCCGAGCAGGCCAATCCAGAGCTGATTGAGAATTTTTATTCCAGTTTAACTTATAAGCTGGAATATTTTTGCTTGTCCACGTGTAGGGATCGGAGTTATGCTAGTCACGGAGTGGATTCTTTTTCTCTTATATTTGCTTGTGTTTCTTATTCATCATCTCATTTGCCTGCGTGAATTGTAATTTGTCTTGTTTGGTTTACGACACTTGTAGGTGAGTATTGAAGAAAACTAAAGCAACATTTGGGTCAAGTGGCAGTTTTTTGAAGACATCTTCCTTGCTTTGTAGTTGAGTTGCTGTTAAAGGTGTCCTTCATATGTACACGACTAATTTAAAATCATCTAAATTAGTATGTAATTTGTAGACACTTTTGGTGTGGATTTTTTGGATGATGTACTTTTGCTCAAGTTTGGATGATTGTATTGCTTCTTTTATATTATTGTACTAGCTACGTTACAATCCTTCAAAATTTAGGATCTGAGATGCTTGTGCAGCAGGATGAAATGTGATTTCTGACGTTAGATAATATGCAACATGAAGTTGGAACACTTTAATTTGGATGCTATACTAACAAGTAGAAAATGTCATAAAGGCCTGATCTAGTTACTCTTCAAAAGTGTCATAATATTTCTATCTACTTATATTTAAAAAGTGTTGTGATATGTTATTGTACTCAAGCATTTCTTGTCATTATAAAGTGTCATAATAGGCATAAATAATGACATTTAATAATGTCATAATAATGATAAATTGGGACACTTAAAACTGTCATAAACCTATCGTGATGCGAGAATGGATGACGCTATCAGTAAAGCGTCATTATAGCCTAAACGTCATGACATAGATCTATAATGACGCTTTTGAATGTCATAAAAGGACACTTTTGTAGTAGTGTGAAGATGGCAATATCGAAGATTTCTAAGCTAAGCTTCGATCATCCTTCTTTTGAGCTTGTTTTTCTGTTAGAGTTTTCATTCCAGGTTCAATTTCCATTTACAGGTCCGATTTTCCATTTCAGATCCAATTATTTGTTTCTAATTCCATTTTCATTTCAGTAATCTAGTTACTCGGCCGTGTCGGTCGTTTCTTCCTATTTTCCTTTGGATTTTATTGGTGTTTCTTATGCTTTCACATTTCTGGTTCTATTTTTGGACAGGTTACTGGTATTGATCTTCATTGTGTCTGTGTTTGGCTGGGGAATACCCTTGGTATTGGTTTAGGATGACTGAGGAATTAGAAGAAGTTTTGAGAAAATTTGCTCTAACTGAAGAGGAGGTCGATGGTGTTGAATTGGATGGAATAGATTTGTTTTAGGGAGTAGCAGAATGTCAGATGAGTATTATTCGAAAAGTGGTGGGGGAGAAGTCTGCAAACATATCAGGTATTAAAAGTTTTACGAATAATATGTGGCCTTTTGCAAGGAAGTGAAAAGTAGTTGAGATTGGGGTTAATATGTTTCAGTTTATATTCAATAATACTCATAATATGGAGCAGGTACTATGGGGGAGACCATGGATATATGATAATTTGCCGTTGGTAGTATTACCGTGGAAGAAGGGGTTAGAACAGAATGATGAAACTTTTAATAGGACTTGGATTTGGGTTCAGCTATGGAGTTTACCTATCCACCGGATTACCAAGGAAATTGGCAGGAAGATTGGGGGGGGTTTCAATTCTGTAAAGGAAGTTATAATTCCAAATTAGGAGGGGGGGGAGGAAGGGAAACATCTAAAAATTCTGGTGGAGATGGAGTTATCTAAACCAATGATGAGGGGAACTACAGTGAAGCTAGGTGGTAGTACTAGACGGATTAAATTTAGATATGAGGAATGTCCTGATTTTTGCTTTTATTGTGGGATTATGGGACATAGTGAGAGAAACTGTAGGGTGAAGGGAGTTAATATTAACAAGGAAGCTCATTATGGAGCTTGGTTAAGGGCTAGTAATGCTAGGAGCCCAACTAGAAGGCAGAATAACTCAAGTAATCTGGAATGTAATGGTGGTGAAGGTTCACAACTGAATAAGGAGTGGGGAGAGAGGGAGCAGGAACAACTCTTATTACCCTGGAAGCTTGTTGAGGTTAGTGTTGACACAGCAGTAAAGAAGACTGTGAAGGAGGAAACTAAGGACATGAATCAAGGTGTTTGATGGAAGGTTCTAAGAAGGAGAGCTCTATGAAGTCTGGATGTAAAAAGAAGGGGGATGACCTGAAGGGAAGGAGCAATGTTAATAAAGACTTAAACTTAATAGCAGAAGGGGAAATACAGAAAGGCAGCCAGAGAGAGGATTTGAACGATAAGGAACACTTTGATTCTATGTGGATTGATGGATCAGCTATAGAAAACAAGGTAAGGGAGAGGGAGGGGAAGGTTATAGGTCCTGCAAATAAAAAACAAGACCAAACTACTAGTACAGGGATGAGAGCTAGTAAGTATACGGGGAATAGAGGATGGAAGAGACTAATTCGTGAGGTGAGTAAAAGAGTAACTCTGAGCAAAAAGAATGAGGTTATGGAAATTAACAATGACAGGGGAAAAAGGAAATTGAATGAGAATGCTGATAAAGAGAATGAATGGGGACGGGGAAATCCAGAAAAAGAACAAGACAGGAGAAAGTGAAGCAGGCCTGTAACAAACATCTAAGGTGGTGGAGTCCTACCTTAATGGGCTCCCAAGTCTCAATGAGAGCTCTGGTGTGGCACTGTCGAGGTGTAGGGAGCCCCTTGACAGTTCTCCAGTTAGAGGAGAGTGTCAAACTCCACTCCCCTAAGTTGATTTTCTTGTCTGAAACAAAAAAACAGAAAAGGATGTTATGAATAAAGTGAGACTAAAGTTAAGGTATGATAGGCTGTTTATGATTGATCTAGTGGGAAAAGCTAGTGGACTGGCAGTAATGTGGAGGAATGAACTGCAAGTTTGTAAAGTGCTATATACTGACTTTAATATTGAAATGTTGCTGGAAAGAAATGGTGCTAGAGCTAGATGGTGGCTGATATGTGTATATGTCAGTAGTGAGGATCAGATTAGGGAAAAATAGTGGAAGATTATAGAAGAGAGAAAAAGCTTGTGGAGTTAGAATTGGGCATTGGCAGGGGACATGAATGATATATTGTCTAAGGATGAGAAGTAGGGAGGCAGTAAAAGGCCAGAAAGAAGTTTTCAAATATTCAAGGACTTTGTTAACAATAATCAACTTGTTGACATTGGGTTTGAAGGAATTCCATGGACATGGTCAAATAATTGGGAGGAGGGGAAGGAAACTAAGGAAAGATTGGATAGAATCTTATGTAGTACACAGTGAAAGAGAGAAAATGAGAAGGCTAAATGCCTGCATATCCAGAATGATGCCTCTGACCATACTATGTTGTTGTTGGATACTGATTCAAAGGGCATGAAGTGGAAAAGGAGATTTTACTTTGACGGGAATTGGGTAAAATATAAAGAAGTAGGTGAACTCATTAGCAGGGAATGGAGAAAACAACAGAATGGTTCAAGATTTCTTAAGCTACACCAAAAGATAAAGAGCTGTAGAGTTGCTCTCTTGAACTGGAATAGGCAAAGAGACACTAATGCAAAAAAAGAGATTATGGAGCTGAAGCAAAAACTTGCAGAGGTTCAGGGTGATAGGTATGCCAATAAGAATGGAAAGATGAGAGACCTTAAAAAGAAACTGGAGGAGGCTTATAAGAGAGAGGAGGTGTTTTGGGGGCAAAAAACAAGAATTAAGTGGTTGAAGGAAGGTGATAAGAATACAAAATACTTCCATGCAAGTGTTGCAGAGAGAAGAAGAAGGAATAATATCTCAAGTCTTCAGAAGGGTGATGGAACTTGGTGTGAGTCAGAGCAAGAAATTGAGAATGAAATTAATGGTTATTTTCAGGAGCTTTTAACTTCTAGTAACCCTCAACAGGTTGACTCAATACTGGGTGGTATTCCCCTAGTGATCACAGACCAAATGAATGCAATGCTGGTTAGACCTGTTTCAGAAATAGAAGTCAGAAAAGTTGTTTTTTCACTGCACCCAAACAAAGCCCCGGGACCTGATGGTATGACTCTCGTTTTCTTCCAACAATTCTGGAATGTGATAAAAGATGACTTGATAAATGCCATATCTAGTTTCTTTCATTCTGGCCAGTTATTGAGGGCTATCAATGAAACTATCATTACTCTTATCCCTAAAGTAGACTCCCCAGTATTAGTGTCTCAGTTTAGATCAATTAGTTTATGTAATGTAGTCTATAGGATCATATCTAAAATCCTGGTCAACAGACTAAAGCCTCTACTCAAGCTTTGCATCAGCCAAGCCAAAACCAATCTGCTTTTGTTCCAGGAAGACAAATCATTGATAATGTTGTTATTACTCATGAATTCATTCATTGTTTAAATAACAGGAGATGGGGATCTAATGCTTTTATGGCTTTGAAACTGGATATGTCTAAAACTTATGATAGAGTTGAGTGGCTTTTTGTGCAAAAAATTATGGAAAGTCAAAAATAGAGAGATTGGATTCTAAAGCGTATGTCTTCTGTTGTTTACTTCTTCAATTTGAATGGGGAAAAAAAAGGGCTAGTTACACCTACAAGGGGAATTAGACAAGGAGATCCTTTATCTCCATAAATATTTTTAGTAGTCTTTGAGGGATTATTCAGTTTACTTAAGAGAGCTATGTATAATTAGAAAATCTCTGGTCTTAAGATTGCTCAGCATAGTCCAACATTGTCTCACCTTTTTTTGCAGATGATGCGTTGATTTTCTGTAGAGCTAACAAAGAAGAAGCTGACAAAGTGATGAAGCTGTTGGAGGTGTATGGAAAAGCCTTAGGACAAGTCATAAATGCTGAGAAGTCTTATGTATTTTTTAGTAAGAATACAAGGGATGAAGTGAAGGCAGAAATATTGGATATCCTGGGAGGCATGAAGGAAGCTAGGCAAAGCAAATATCTTGGGCTTCCATTGGTTATAGAAAGACCAAAAAAACAAGTCTTCAACTACATTAGGGAGAGGGTCATCAACAGAATGTGTGGATCGAAGGAGAGACTACTGAGTAATGTTGGTAAGGTGGTCCTTTTAAAATCTGTGATTTTAGTTCTACCTGCTTATGCTATGAGTTGCTGCAAACTGCCAAAAGGCTTATGTGTGGATATTTGTAGAGAAATGGCAAAGTTTTGGTAGAGTCATAGTGAGGAAAGTAGGAAAATTCATTGGATGGAGTGGAGGAAGTTATCTGAGGTTAAAGGGAAGGGAGGGTTCGGTTTTAGAGATCTCCAGCAATTCAATACTGCGATGCTTGCTAAGGAACTATGGAGGATCTTGACAAGGCCAAATCTATTAGTTAGCAGATTGTTAGGGGGAGGTATTTTAGAGGATCTTCCATTTGGAAAATGAAGATTAATGTTGGGGATTCTTGGGTTTGGAAAAGCATTCTCAGTGCAAGAGAGCTATTGGAAGAAGGGGTGAGGAAGAGAGTGGGGGACAACAAGCAGATTGATCTATGGGAAGATAAGTGGCTACTAGATCAGGAAGTTGGTAAGATAAGATCGAGAAAACCTCAACATTGCCATGTACAAAGAGTCCATGAGTTGATTTTTTGAAGGGAATCGGGATAAGGATTTATTGAGAGAGTTTTTTGATGAGGAAGTCTGTCAAAGAATAACTAATATTCCAATAAGTGAGTGTGGTGATAAGGATAGACTAATATGGATGTTCTCTAAATCAGGGGAGTATACTGTGAAAACTGGCTATGTGGTGGCTAAAGAGTAGCAGAGAAAAAGAAGAAAGGAAAATCAGCAACAAGGGAGTAGTAGCAGGAATGAAGCTAATTCAGGGGTGTGGAGATTCTTATGGAGCCTGAACATAAAGCATAAGCTGAAACATTTTGTATGGAAATGTCTTCAAAGAATCTTGCCAGTAAATGAAACAATTAGGAGAAGGATTGGACAAGGAAATGATAGGTGCTGTTGCTGTGGAGAAGGGACAGAAACTCTTGAACACATGTTCTTTTTCTGTAAGCATGTATAGCTAATTTGAAAGGCTGCCCCAATTAGCTGGGATGAGTTGAAGGAATATAGATATAGCTTTTGGCATTGGTGGAGTAGCTTGATGGAAGCAAAGGTTAGAAAGGAACGGAGGGAACACATTGAACTGACCATAAATGTGCTATGACAGATCTGGAAATCCAGGAACCAGATTCAATTTAACAGGGATGGGAGATGTCTAGGCATGGCAGTTAATAAGGCAATACAAGTATGGTTAGAATTCCAGAATGTAAGCACAGAGAAGGGAGAGGATGAAGAAAGGTACAGGGGTGTGGAAAGAGGAAATGTGAAATGGGAGCCACCTCCAGAAAACTTCATGTGCTTAATACTAATGCAGCTATCAAACAGAATGATGCAAAAATAAGTTGGGGAGTCGTGACTAGATGCAAGGAGGGGAAGTTAAGAGGAGCTTGGGCTGGTTGTGAAGGCAGAAAGGGTGTTCCAGCTGTTGAGGAGGTAAGAGCAATCCGGAAAGCGCTTATGTTTGCCAAGATGAATGGATGGAGGAATATTATAATCCAATCCGACTAAGAGAATCATTGATCAAATCAGAGAGGGAAACCTAAATGACCATTTAGCAGGTGCGGTCCTATTTGACATTCTTGTACTTAGCAAGGACTTTAGCTCTTGTCTCTTCTCTTTTGTTAAGAGGGGAGGGAATAATGGGTCCCACTATTTGGCAAAGTTTGCCTTAACTTTAATTTCTGAGATAGCTTGGATGGACTCATTTCCAAGTTGGCTAATCAGTCTAGCCAAAGATGATGTAGGAGCCTTTGCTCCAAATTTGTAATACTTTCGTTCAAGTAATGAAATTTTTCTATCGTTTGGGAAAAAAAGTAAGAGTGATGCATTAGTTCAGATTTATCGTAATGAAATTGTGTTTTTTGATTAGAGAAAAAGAATATAAATAAGAAGTGATGTATTATTTATTCTACATGGTACAAGGAGGTAATGTAAAACAGGAATTTCTCTAATAAAGGAAGACGAGAATACTCTCAAACCATAGTATCAGAACAAAAGCTATCGTAGTAGGACAAATTTCATACTGCAGAGTTTTTATGCTAATCACATCTTAGACTAGAATGGGTATTGTTAATTAATCTGTCAAGTCCAAAATTTCTTTGAATTCTGCCATTAGGATAGTGATATAAATCAAATCGTGTTGGATCAATTTCTAGCAATTTGTTAATGAAATTTGCTTTAAAAATAAACCTCTATCGTAAGAAAAATTCGCAAATTTAATAATAGATCTTCAATCCCCACAATTTAGGAAGAAAATGAACAACCAAATAAGGCAGTATACAGAATAAAAAAGGCAAAAAAAAGAAAAGAAAAGAAAGAAAGAGCAAATCAGGTTTCATGATGCTTCAACTCTTGTAAGTTTCGAGTGCTTAAGAATAACTTCTACGGCTTGTTCACAAGAATTTACATTTTCCTGTGCTGCTGCATAATGTAGACAATATTCATCAACGATTTTATATTGTGAAAAATTTACTGCATTATTGAACTACAAAGTTAAATCTCGGTGATACAAGTAAACAGTGGTGGAGCCAATGCTCTGGGTCAAAGGGTACAAATTTTTGATATCACATCAAAAGGCACTTATGTTAAATATTATTTTTTCATTGTGTCAATTATATTTTGACATCTAAGTTGTGCTACAATGTAATGGTAATTTAGGAACGTCAAAAGAGTTTGTTCTTGGATTTTCATCATTAATTAGCTTTAATTAGATCCAACACTATTGTGAAGTGTAACAATTAAGATTTTTTTAATTTACTAAGGGAAGCCAATGCAAATAAGAATGAGACAATAAAAATTTTAAAGGGGTCAATATAGATAAAAAAAAGGAAATTTTAAAAATATTGAGGGGCAAAGTTGATAAGAATGAGAGTTTGAAATATTTTAGGGGGTGCAAATAAAGAAGTAACTTAAAAATTTTCAAAAGTGCTATATCAAAAATAGAAGTTTCTCAAAGTTGAGGGTGAAGGAGGGGGTAATCGCCCATTCTCATAATCATTTGTCTCCGTTTCATCCCTTGTGACAGAAATGGAGAGCAACTGGTCCGAACCCGTTGACTCTTCGTCAACGTAAATAAAACCAACATATCCGCAGACCCCACTTTACACCAATTTCCGTCCACCAAACATACCCCTACCGGGCCCGAACTCTATTCAGGAACAGTAATGGTAATACTCGAGTATACTGGAATCAAGAGTCTCAATATCCAAAGATTTCCAAAACAGACTACCGTGGTTCGTTATCTAATCGACCAGACCCTTGCCGGCCCGACTTGAGTAACTAGCCACAGGTGTTGAGCTTAGAGGTCACAAAAAGGTCTTTGGATACCAGCCTCCAAACAACGTCCAAACAGACTCAGATACAGTTAACAGATTATACATAGTAAATAGGCATATGGACAGACGAGAACGAGTGTGATAAAGTACACTCTCGTCTCAAACAGAATAAACAGATAGTGCAGTCATTTAAATCGCAGATTGCAGGGGCAGAAACCAAGTTAAACAGCAAATGAGGGGAGTGGTACACTCAGCGGTTCAAGTACAGATACTTGAAAAGTTTTCACTTCAAATTGGCTTTAATCGCCAAGAAACCCTAAAATCATCAAAGTAAAACAATTGAAGGTTTCACATCCAAAATCAAGTAAACGGAATGCACAAGTGAGACTCGACTATATGTCGTACGCCTTTCCAGGTTAAGTACTAGTACAAAAGAATAAAATATGACTTTTGAGTAAAAAGATAACAGTTGGTTCTAGGGTTACAAACAACCCCCAAAACCCTTCATTTGTACTAAGATCAACTTAATTGAAGGAATCGCGTAGCCCTAAAATTTTGGGCAGCATGCCCTCTGTATTTACTTATTTTTTCAGCCACTTATGACTTCATTATTTTCCTCAATCAATTCCAAAGTCATACGCAATATAAATTCATCACAACAGCCGTTTAATAGGCTCAAAGTCATTCAAGTACAAGATTTAGCTAGGAAAATGACCGGAAATGAGCTTTAAGCTAGGAAACTAAAAAGGCAGATTCACCGCTACTTAGCATATCGGACCTAACCGAAACTACACTTATTGGATTGAAGTGTAAATACCGTTTCGAAGCTAAGACAGAGGGCTATAACTTTGATGAAGACTACTTAGTCCAGTTCTCATCCTAACTAGGTCAAATTTACCAAAACAACCCCAGATTTTCCAGTTCGAAACTCACTGTGAAATTCAACTAGCAGTCCCGATTCATTCAAGCATATCTTAGCACACACAACTCCGATTCAGGTAATTCCAAAGCCATTTGAAAGCTAAGATACAAGGCTATAATTATTCAGAAGACACCAACAATCAAATCAATAGTATTCCTGGTCAAACTAACCAATTACAGAAGCTGATTATCAGTTTCGGACAGAAACAGGGCAGCAGGGGTATTTCTATCTTGTCACAGGCTACAGAGGTCGGATTGGGATGAAATTTTACAAGCAGTTATAAAACATCATTCTCTACAACTTTTATGTTTTAACCCAAGGCTAATTCGACCTCTAACTAGGAGAAACAGTACCAGGCAGAATGGAAATACTTGAAACCCTAATCTGGCATTTTCCGCACAAAGTGGAAATTTTTCGCAATTAGCTACAATTTACGCACTATAGCCTCATTCTAGACTATTTCCAACCATCATCCATGGCCAACCAATATAAAACATATAAAACAGAAAATCATGAATAAATAGAAAAATTCCCCAATCTCAACCAAGAGTCATGAAATATCACTTAAAACTAGCTCTTTACTCACACAAGCTACCAATTGAACATCATTAAGATCAAAGGAAAGGTGTCTTAGTCACTTACCTTGCAAACTCAAGAAAAGAACCAACTTAGCACCTAGGTCTTCCAAATCACTCCACAACCAACCTTACTACCGCTAAACTAAAGGTTTTTATGGAGGAAATCCAAGTTTAATCGATTGAATTAGGAGATTGAGCAAGATTGGAGCAAGAAATTTGAGAGCTTTTTCCTTTCTTTTCTCTTGAAGATGTTCGGCCATAAGGATGAAGAAAATGATGAATTGTTGGTCAATTTTGGTTAATTGGTAAAGGTAAGTAAGATGGTCAAATTCAAGAATAAACCACAAAGGTGACACTTGTCACCCTTATTTAATGCAACTCTATCCTTTTGTCTCTCCAATGATAATCCATCTACGTAACTTCTAATTATCTCTTCACACCTGATAAATTAAACCCGGTATACACAACTTAACCTAATTGGCCGAATTTTACCGAACTTTCCGCACTAGCGGGTCCCACATCCGGTATACACTCTTAAAATCTTATAAACTGACTTATACTAGAAAAAATGATTTCAAAACCATCTTTACTCATAAAAATTATTTTCACAATTTTTCGAACAAATAAAATGTGGAAAAGCGTGCAATTAAAAGAAAATAAAACCTAGCAATTAAGAAAATTACGGGTTCTCACATTTGCCACATATTTGTCTAATGACATTTTCTTTGTAATCTCAGCCAAAAGTAGGAAACATATCTTAAGAACCCTGAGGAGATGTAAAAGAGGCAGAACTTTTGAAGCTGATAAAAAGCACTAACAAGTTGAGCAAAGAAAAAGATCACTTTGACCAAAAAAAAAAAAAAGATCTCTTCCCATAAGCTTCTCTGAGGACCAAAGTTATGCAGGCATCCGATTATCACTAAGGAAAAGTATAGGAAGGGCAAATTACACTTTAATCCCCTGTGGTTTTGTATTTTTTATACATAACTCCCCTATAATTTCAAAAACTATATATACCTCCTCATGATTTGGATTAAAGTGTCAAAATGACGAAATTTGTAATCCATAACAGATTCAATTAAAATATCAAAAATACCCTTATAAAAAGTTGAAAATTATTTATTAACCATAAGGAATTATATATATATATATATAACCATAAGAAGGTAATATGATAAAATACTCAACTATCACGGGGTTATATGGTAATATATAGAATCATGTAAGGTTAGAGTGCCATGTATATTATGTTTATATATTTTGATCACTTCAACCATTTTAATTGTTAAACAAGGGTAATTTTGACATTAACAAAATGTAATTTACCCTATAGAATCGGGTTGTTAATTAGATCGTTTGGACGATAAAACCGTTGACTTTTTGACGAATCGACATTCAATCAATTAACCCGATGAACCGGCGATTTTGTGAGAAACTCGGGTTGCTATGCGAAAAATTTTTAGAAGATATTGCATTGATGGTTTGAACTTGGGACCTCAAGTATAAGAATGTAGTGCAATCACCACTAGACCAACAGTCCAATTGTGAGTTGTTTGGTCCTTCTTATATTATATATTAGACTTTTATTCTTATTTTATTTCTTCAAAACAAAATTTATTTAGAATCTTTTAATAAAATTTTATTTATTTCCCAAATTCCATGAGGCAAATTTTAATGAAATAACAATATCTAGTTTATTTCCATAAGTTAAAACCAAAAGTTTGTTAAAAATAATGAAATTTCCATAAAATAAATTTAAGTTTTGTTTATTCTTATAAGAATTAATGATTCTATAATAAATTAGACTAATTGAACATTTACTAAGGCATAGTTTATTATAATTTCAATCATATAAAAAATTATAAGACATAATATTTAAGTATATTTAGTGACCCATCGGTTAGACCACTCATCCACTGATTGAATCAGTAACTCGTTAACCCATTTATTTCACTGGGTTTCTCTCTGGGCGGGTTTAATAACTATGTTTATCACACTAAAAAGTCCTTCTATATCATCAGATGGTAAAAGGAGAAGAG